GGAAATAAAGGGAGCAACCCCATTCACAATAACCTCCCAAAAAATAAAATATTTAGGAATTAACCTAACCAAAGATGTAAAAGAACTATTTAATGAGAACTATAAAAAGTTAAAGAAAGAAATTGCAGAAGACACTAGGAAATGGAAAGACCTCCCATGCTCCTGGATAGGCCGACTTAATATAGTAAAGATGGTGATACTTCCAAAATTAATATACAAATTCAATGCAATTCCTATTAAAATCCCAATGACGTACATCACCGAAATACAGAAAACAGTCCAAAAATTTATATGGAACAACAAAAGACCTAGAATAGCCAAAACAATTCTAGGGGATAAAGACAATATGGGAGGGCTATCCATGCCGAACTTCAAACTCTACTACAGAGCTATAATCACAAAGACAGCATGGTACTGGCACAAAAACAGACCCGAAGACCAATGGAACAGAATAGAAGATCCAGATATAAATCCACAGGCCTACAGCCAGCTGATATTCGACAAAGGAGCCAAAGACATACAATGGAAGAAACACAGCCTCTTCAACCGCTGGTGCTGGGAAAACTGGGCAGCCACATGCAGAAAACTAAAAGTGGACCCCAGCCTATCACCATGCACCAACATCAACTCAAAATGGATTAAAGACCTTAACATTAAACCTGAATCTCTGAAACTACTGCAGGACAGAGTAGGAGAGACACTTGAACTAATAGGCACAGGAAGGAACTTCCTGAACAGAGTCCCAGGGTCACAACAAGTTGGAGAGAGACTCGACAAATGGGACTACCTTAAAATAAAAAGCTTCTGCACAGCTAAATCTATCGCAACTAAGCTAGAAAGACAACCAACTAATTGGGAAAAAATATTTACCAGCAATATATCAGACAAGGGGTTAACATCCTGTATATACAGGGAACTCAAGAAACTAATCCCTCCCAAACCTAACAAACCAATTACTAAATGGGCAAGGGAACTAAAGAGGGACTTCTCAAATGAAGAAATAAAAATGGCAAAGAAACATATGAGGAAATGTTCATCATCCCTGGTGGTGAAGGAAATGCAAATAAAGACAACCCTGAGATACCACCTTACCCCAGTCAGAATGTCCCACATCCACAAATCAGCCAACGACAAATGCTGGAGGGGATGTGGAGAAAGAGGAACCCTATTACACTGCTGGTGGGAATGTACACTTATACAACCACTTTGGAAAGCAGTCTGGAGGGTCCTTAGAAAGCTAAAGATTGACCTCCCTTACGACCCAGTCATACCACTTCTAGGCATCTACCCTGAACAACAGGAACCAATATACAAGGACACGTGCACCTCCATGTTTATTGCAGCACTGTTCGCAATAGCTAGGATATGGAAACAACCTAGGTGCCCCACCACAGATGAATGGATCCAAAAATTGTGGTATCTATACACAATGGAATATTATGCAGCCATTAGAAATGACAAAATAATGGCATTTGCAGGGAAATGGATGGAGCTAGAAGGAATCATGTTGAGCGAGGTAAGCCAAGAACGAAGAGACAAACGGTACATGGTCTCCCTCATAAGTGGATGCTAAATCCAAAAGGTTAGGTGATACGACAAAACTAACAGGACTTAAGAAACAAAGAACTCCCGCTCATCTGGTTGAACCACTACTAAATATCCTCATGCTGCTGATCACAAATATGGTATATAACATGTGAACACTGTTATATATTACAGACTGTGGTAGACAATTTGCTCCAGGGAAGTTAGAATGAACTTGTGACTTTGAAATTATGTAATCATTTAATCACAATCAAAAAAAAAAAAAAAAAAGAACCTCGGGGAAGGGAAGGAGGGAGGGGATGGTAGGGGGAAAACAATGGAGGGGGTAACAATGTTCAAGAGGAAGTGTACTCATAACCTCACTCATGTAACTGTAACCCTCTGTATAGTAGCTTTACAATAAAAAAATAAAATAAAATAAAAAAAAAAAAAAAAAAAAAAAAAACAATGAACTTTACCATTTAGGGGCAGGGGAGTGTAATTGTGGAAGTGGGAAGGGAAGGGATGGTAGGGGAAAACAAAGGAGGAGGCAACAATGCTTGATAAAAAATGTACTCATGACCTTGCTCATGTAACTGTAACCCCCTCTGGACAGTATTTTCACAATAAAAAACTTATGCAAAAAAAGAAAATAACAAAATAGTTTTGGTAAAGAACAATTGACCAAAATTTAGGCCTGCTACCTAAAACATTCTACTATAGAAAATGACTTCAAAAAATCTTCAGGGAGTTAAGGGGGTCAGAAATGGAAAATCATTGAATAGAATATAAGTTTATCAGATTATTGAATATGTATTTTAAGCTTGCTATTCTAATCATACTCTTAATTATCTTTCTCTATTCTGAAGATTTTTTCAAATATTTTAATAAACTCTCAAAAACATATGCATAACTTTCCCTTCACTGTGTATGTGGGGGGGAGGGGGTTCTGGGGATTGAACAGAAGACCTGCTCACTGACCTGAGCTTTTTTGCCCAAGGCTACCATTTCTGCTTTTTTTTTTTTTTTTTTTTTTGAGGGGTAATTGTCCAGGCTGGCTTTGAACCTCTATCCTCAAATCTTAGCTTCTTGAGAGGTTAGGATTCCAGATATGAGATACCAGTGCCCAACTCCCTTCACTTTTAACACAGTTGATGCTATTGCTTCTTCTGGAATCTCTTAAATCTGTTCAGATCTGAATAACTTACATTTTATAAGTTTATTTGCATTAATCTCGGATTTTCAAATCTTCCTCTTTCCCTGGATGGGGGATTTTGTGAATGCTTTTACTTATTCAACAATTTGGTTCTTTTTATCCTGCACTTTTACATCTTTGGAATATTTCAATTTAATTCTGTGTATAAGTATAGTCCATGTCTTGCTAACATGATCTTCAGAGAAACTAAAGCTACAGATTGGAATAGCATTTTATGAGAGTGTGAAAATTCTTTCATCTCTTATTATTAGTTGATTTATTATAGGCGACTAAAACACAAAAAAAGAATGTAACCTGTATTAAGAGCCAATAAATGATACTGGGAATAGACTCTACGTCTCCTAACTCTCAATTTAATGTACTTTTATAAAAAAAAAATACAAAACTCATGGCATTTATGACCTACTTCACATTGGCTCTACCCAGACATGGCAGTCAAAAACAAGACAGTGTCTATGAAAATGTATTATTGACTACTCTGTTACTAACACACTCTGCTGGGCTTTGTATTTATTTTTCTATTTTGTAGGTTATGTTATTAAAAGTTGAGTTGCAGGAAATAAAGAACTTAAAATATAAAATAATAATTGTATGCATTTTATGGTCCTAAAATCGCCAGTAGTGACTCACAAACAAAGCATTCATTGTGAATCCAAATCTAAACTGGAACCATGAAGAAGGCCAGTTAGGATACTTGAAACCCAAGTAAAACTGGAGGAAGGAAATGATGGTTATATAACTGTTGTTTGTGTCACAAGGGAATAAGATAACTGTATGTGAGAAAATAAAAATGAAAAGGAATAAACTGTTCCTAAATATTATAGACAGCTTTAAATGTAAGTTTTCCTATAAACTTGCCATGTGAAGAGTAACAGAAAATAACTTTATGTAGGAGGAGATTTGTTTTGGGCAAAGAAAAAAAACAAACATTGACATTTTGAAGACCTAAGTGTCTTAAATGGAATGACTATTAAAATGAAAAGTTAAACTTCACAAAGACATTTCAGAGATTATATCTGAGCAGCATCCTAAGAGGCAGATAATTAATGACTCAGCTAATCTGTGCGCTTCAGGCTGACTCACATGTTTTGGAAGAAGATTTCATGGATTCACTGATTCTGGCAATGTTTTTCCCTTTGTTCCACCTGGCAGTGCCAAACAAATCCTGAAATATCGGTGACTTTTCTAGCTCTAATTTTCTCAGGGAAATATTTCTGCAACAAAATCAGCCTTGCAGCAAGTCCAAAGTAGGCATTTAGCCTACTTGAAAAGCACTTGCCAACATAACCATCGTGTGCCAATGGAATGTGAATGTGATTGGGAAGTACAAACAGAACCCAATGCTGGGCTTGATTTGTGGGATGAAAAAGTGGACTTCCTACCCCCACTGCCGCATGAGACGTGCTTTGGGGAAGATATTTTAAATTTATACATACTATTTGATGCAATAGGAGATGTAAGGAAAGTAGAAATGTAGGGGCCTTGGCATCTGCCCTAGAAAGACTCACACAGTCTATCAGAACAAGTAGTAAATAATGAGTGGTACAAGGGACATATTATAATACATACAAGAGCAATAGTTTGAGGGAGGGAGCCTAAAATTGTCACAGTCTTATGCCAGTAGGATTGAGAGATACTTACCAGCAGGTGACCTGGAGCTTTAAAGGATGAGCTGAGACTCTAAATACTGACAAAATAAGCAGTGTATTTCACCAAGAGGCAAAGACCATGCATGGAAGGGACAATGAAATGTCAGCATTGGGGTATATTTAGAGAGTGATTGACAACCCAGTCCAGCCATAGAGCTGAAGATGGAGATGGGAATATAGGACACAAAAATGTGTCAGGGCCAATATGGTTCTCTTGGTATGGGGTTTGCATCGTCTGTGCCTTGCTGTTATCCTAATCTCCAGAATATACCCACCCTAGAAAGAGCTATTCTAAATCTGTGATTCAGTTTCTTGGCATAGCCTCAATCTGATTGATGAATAAAATAGTAGTCTAAGAAAAGCTTCAAGTTTTCTCTAGATCCATATATCCTTATGTTTCTTATAATGCTAAGAATTTACAGTGACAAGTCCTTGATACATATCTGTTGAAAATCAGAGTCATGTGCATATACGTACACACATAGACATGTGATCAAAGAAACTTGGATTGCTTTTTGAACATGCCAGTTTAATGGTTTTGCTGTAACTTTCAACATAGGCTCACTTGCACTGTAGATAGGTTTATTTGACCCTCTGCTGTTTTCCTGCAGGATTGAAAAAACGTACAAGGAAGGCCTTTGGAATACGGAAGAAAGAAAAGGACACTGATTCTACGTATGTACTTGAACAGTTTATCTCATTCACTTTGCCTAAGAAATTCTGTTGTGACAGTTGCTAATATTGTCATTGAGTTTCTTTGATTAGTATGTATTTCTTTTCTGTGATACCCCATTTCAGAGTAAACTGCATTTGCTTCTCATAAATACTTCTTTGATTTCTGCTAAAAGGTGAAGATTTTTCATTATTTGTTCAGTTTTTCATCATCTCTAAATACCTGATATTCATACTTCTCAGCGGTCTTGAAAAGCAAAAGGTGTGATTGTGATTGTTATTTTGGTGGTGGGGAGGGGGCATAAATGACAAATGCATTTATTTTTCTAATGTTGCCCCTACTTCTAGACCAAAGCAACCGCCAAACACCTGTATAGGTAAACTAGCAGTAGCCAAAACCAGAAATGTATACTAAATAACATCCCAAAGTTCTTGCTTGAGATGCCAAGAGTTTGTATAAACATAATTGTAAATCAACCAACAGAGTTTGCAGGAATGATAGGATATTTGGCTGTGAATAAGAAACCAGTGCCAGAACAATTATGAGTATGCTTTATGTGTTTAAATGGTTATATCCAAGAGAATTAATTGACCATGGACAATTAATCTCAAAACATAACAATTTCATTCTACTTATTTGGTCATCTTTAATTCTCCTTCAGAAGTATTTAACTCTGACACAAACTCTCAAGTATCTTTTTGAGCCAGATAGATAACTAATACATGAAGTCAACTGGCCAGGAACTTGAGATTCCAGCCCAAGATCAGTTTACAAAGAGAACTGCTAGCCAACGCAACTGGTTGTGAACAGGTAGAAACGCAAATCTGAGATGAGATTTTTGTCTATAAGAATGGAGTCCAGCCAGGTTCTGGTGGCTCATGCCTATAATCCTAACTACACAGAAGGCTGATATCTGAGGATCATAGTTCAAAGCCAGTCTGGGCAGGAAAGTCTATAAGACTCTTATATCCAACTAGCCAAGTTAAAAACTGGAAGTAGAGCTGTGGCTCAAGTAGTAGAGCTCCAGTCTTGAGCAAAAAAGCTAAAGAACAGCAACCAAGCCCTAAGTTCAGCCCCCGTACCAGGATACGCATACAAAATAAAAATTGAGTCCATTAAACCATTCTCATATACAGAATCCCTAAAAGAATATTAGAAAATAGGAAAATAAAACCTGTGTCAGCATGAGTAAAAGTGAAAGTAGGTCACATTTATTTCAATCTTTAGCTTTGCATTCTGTACATTTTAATTAAAGCATTCCCTCCATGAATGTATAATTCATGGTCTAAAATATCTACTACAAAAAATTTGTTTAAAACTTTTATACAACTAAGTGAAACAGCATATTTGAAAGGCCTACTGTAGTATTTAGTAGTTAAAAAATGCTTCATAAAAGATAGCTGCCCTCAATAGGAAATGGATTCATTACCTTGCTCTGCTCGTGTAACTGTAACCCCTCTGTACAGTATCTTTACAATAAAATATATATATATATATTTATATTAAAAAAGATAGCTGCTACCATTCTTATTATTGAAACAATCCATAGTAAAGAGTTCCGTATGAGTGATTAAACTGGAATTTCCCAGAAATGTTAGGGTGAGAAAGCTCACATTTGATGGATACTTTAGGGCAGGAAAACCATGAGTTTGGCCTGTAAGAAGATGAGGATATGACAAAGGCAAAAGCAATATGGGAAAATTCAGTGGTTATTTAGGACAAGGTAAATGGGGCTGAGTGTCTACCAGTGAGCTCTAAGAAAAGGTGATAAAGAGAAGGCAAGGCTGGAAAGGGATGAGATCCAGATAGAAGGAGAATTACATACCATGTTGAGGTGCCTTGTCTTCCTTCTGTAGTCAGTGGGTCACCTTGAAACCTCAAAGTTTTTACAACAGATAATACAGAGGATTGGAAAAGCTATTTTTTTAATTTAGATACAAAATGTTCAAGCTCTTGTTCTCATATTTTCTTGTTATTTTTCTTCTAGTTATTGTTTACTAGAAACATTTATGGTACTCCTGAGATTTTTTTTCCTCTACATGATTAAGTTGGGAATATTTTTCTGAGAATTATATAATTTATATTGCTTCTAAATATTTTTTTTCTCCACATGAAGATAGGCAGCGGTTCCTTCACTGGTACTGGAATGCCTGGGCTCTTGTTCCAATTCTGCCAGTAACTCCATAGCTGTGGAAATCGCACATTCATTCACTGGGCCTCAGTTTCTCCCCTGTAAAAATAAAAGTTCACACTAGATGAAACTGAGTTTTTTGGAAGTGTCACTGTGACTCAAGTGGTAGAGAGTTCACTTGAGCCTGAAGAGCTCAGGGACAGTGCCCAGGCCCAGAGTTCAAGTCCCACAACTGACAAAAAAAAGAAAGGAAGGAAGGAAGGAAGGAAGGAAGGAAGGAAGGAAGGAAAAATTGAGTTTTGTTCAAAGGCCAGGCACTGAGCTAGGCAGTCTGTCAACCACATCTGATACCACCTCCAACGTGCCATGTGCTATGTGGGACATTGTTGCAGGAGAACAGCATTGCTGAAACCAAGCCAAGTATTCTATTGACAGTGACTGTAACTACAGTCGACATTACTGTTGTCTGAAAGAGAAAGACAAAGAAATAATCTTGGGGGGTGGGGGGAAGAGGGTAAACAACCTCTCTTTGGCAAGCTGAGCTCATTTACATGTGGCCAAAGCATGGTTCTTCCATCATCATTTCTAAATCTATGAGAAGAAACTGTTCCTTATGGCTTTAAGTAGATGCCCAGCATCTCTATGAGGCCCTTTAAGGAGACATTGGTTTGTAATCATCTCACCTCAATTTTTTATCATCAGAATGTCCCAATTATTTTTGGGATAGCAAATTGGCTCTTCTTTGGTTCCCCTAGTAGTGATAGTCAAGGACAAGCTTTAAAAAAAAAAAAAAGTAGAAGTCTTTGCTGTTGTTTTGTTGATTTTATGAACCCCTGCTCTCTAATTCGATCATATATCATAGATTTATTGGAAAAGGAGTCATAAATACAAAAGGATTAGTAAAATGCTCTGGCAATTTGCTGTCCCTTCAGCTTTAGTTAATGCCTATGTTAGCCTGTAATCATTGAGACCTTGTTGATGCAAACTGTTTTCAGGGCCATTGCAGCTGGCTCTGGGTTGCTAAGCAACCTGCTAGAGTAGCGGCCAGCTACTGATTGAACCTTCTAAGACAGAGAGTAGGGTAAGGACCAGAGCTTCCTGATTTGATCATCATTACCGTGGCTGACAGAAAGAGGAAGGAGAGAGCTTGTGCTAAATGGCAGGCTCCGTGCAGGATATTCTGTTACACTGAGATCCTTTCTAATCCTAACAATAATTCAATAAGGTTGGTACTAACATCTCAGCTCAAGAAATGAGAAATCACTGCCCAAAATGGAATCACTTGCTGAAGGCCATGTAGAAAATAAGGCTGAGAACCAATAATCCTGGTCTAGAAATGAGGGTCTATGTGTTTATCAAACCGAAGGAAAGACAGGAATGGGCAAGATTATAACCCAAATAGGAGGATCAAAAAGAAAGATGGCAATCATGGCAAGCAATAACTGAAACTTTAAAAACTTGAGTCCATGATAGATGATTAGCTTTAAAATACAAGTCTAGAAAAATCAAAACATTTTTGAAAACATATGAAACTTCACAGGATGTTGTTAGGAAATAAACTTGGAATGCAACTCAAATGTTGGAGGCTGCTGCAATCTCTCCACTCCGTATGCTAAATCAGACTATAGAATCATAATTATTATCTAGTTTAATACACATTGTATTCTAGGCTCTCTCTTTTATTAAATTACTTGTTGGATTCTCTAATGGCTCTCTCCTCCACCTCTACCTCTTTCCCTCTTTCTCCTCTGGCTCCAATTTCCTTACTTAGTCCCACTTCCAAAGGACAAACCCCACCCAAATTGTAGAAATAGCATAGTACAAGTCCCTGTCTAAGCATAGTTCTGGTGCGTGTTAATAACATAATGACATTTTTAAGCTCTTTACAAGATGAATTAAAATTACAAGTTACCAAGTAACCATTTCCACTCTCTTACTTCTCCCTCCCTCTGTTTGTCCTGTCCCAGTATCCCACAGAAAAAAAAGACAAAACAACTTTGCTACCTTGTTCTACAAACCCAGTGTGGTTGCAAGTGGGATATTTTGTGCTCCTAGTGAAAAAATAAATAAAATGACAATGACAATGAAATCACACTTTTATAATTAGTGTATGGAGCTACTGTACATTCATTATATATACCTCATCTTACTTTAATTATCTAGGAGTGGTTAGGTAACAGGTTCAAGGTCACAGAACAGTGAAGTGGTGAAGATTGAAGCTCAAGACTGATTGTACTCGAAAGCCCTTGATCCTAACCACCATAGACTAGTGCCACCACAAGATAGCACCGCCAGAGCATAATGCTGCCATAGAATCACTGCCTGAATTTTAGCCATTAGAGGAAAACACTTAGCAAAATAGTGCCCTCCATCGCCTCTTTTAATTGAAGGAGATGTAAATATAGAAATATGAAGAAAGTAGAGATTCTCAAAATAAATTCTGGACAAAAGACAATTTTGAACCACTCATAAGGGAAATGATAAGGAAGAAGAAATCATTTGTATGTCTTGTGATCGTTTTAAATGGAGCCAGCTAGACTGGGCTAGTTTTAATGAATTTACTCTCCTCTCAAAATGGACCAAGGCACTGTATCACTATCATGCTTTTTCAGCTTCATTCTTAATGAGAATATCACTCCCACACATCCACACCTCCCTCAGTCAATTATTATTCAATCTACTTGTTTTTATTTCATTTTCCTTAGTCAGTTTTACTACAGTTGGAAGGGGAGGATGAATGTAATGGATACTGACTTTGGTCAGTTAGTTCTATGAGAAGGGTTTTGGGCTAGTTTGAACTCCCAATCTTCTAGCTTTAGTTCCTGAGGGCTGGGAATATAGGCATGTACTATCTCACCCAACTGGTGAATGATTTTTACTGCTAGTCTTTAGTCTGTACTGAAAGAAATTATTCATTTTCTTAATAGCTGTCAATTTCTTTTTATTACAGAGGCTCACCAGATCGAGATGGAATTGTAAGTATTTTAATAATCATTTATAGTAAGGATTTGCACCCCAATATATTCTATGTGTAAATTTCCTAAATCCCATTTCTTTTTTTTTTCTGGTTGGATGACTTTTTAAACCTCTCACTGTTGTAAATTTTTTCTAGCAATTGCATAGGACATAAATGTGGTCTTGGTCAAGTTAGACTTATTTATTGCATTCACCTAAAACCCTGCCCCAGAGCAGGCAAGTTAACTAGTCATAAAAATGATGGGTCAAAAGCCAGGTAATTCATTCTGGCATTGCTATCTTCAACAGTTATTTCATTTCCAATTTAATGATATAAAAGCTCATTATATGAGAATGGTCTTCTCCAACAGACAACACAGGGTCATAAAGAAGCAGGGATCCAATAAAACTGAAAGAAAAACAAAAGCTTTTCCCCTTGAGTAGCTGGGCTACAGATCCATTTTCTATATTAAATTCAAAGTTAGGGAATGGTCATAAAACCACTTATGACTGAATTTACAGCCTGAAGGAAGAAAATGTGTCCAATGGGTTTCTATTTAACAACAACTCTACTTGCTAGCCACCAGATTTCTTACATTTTTAAAGAAGTCTGTGGTACACTGGCTTAGATTTATCCCAGTTGTGCTTATGAGAATCTGCCCTAGCTTCTAAAATGACTTCCTTCAAAATCTAAATCAGATGTTTATTCAAAGGTTCAAAAGAACAGCTGCTATGGAAATAAAAAAATGGACTCACATTAGGCTCACTGGGCTGAAGTGGGAACTAAAATAAATACGGTGGTTAAAAATATTGTTTTTGAAAAATCACCCTTTATGATGCTATACTAAATTCGGGTGTTAATTGCAACAACAGTAGGAATTTTTTCTCCTGCACTTGATTCAAAGTCCTTAGTTTTGGGGTGCCTTTTGCATTCATGTGGTTCTTGCTATGAAATGTTAAGAAAATAGACTGAAATTGATCAGACATTTGGGTAACACTATAATCAAGGCTCTATTCAGCAGGGGAAAAAAAAGACCCAGAAGACTCAGCTTCTCCTCACCTCTTGCTTCTGGCTCAGAGCCCTCTCGTTAACTTTGTCTCAGGTACTCTCTTCTTCTGTGTCCTCTCTTTGCTTCTGGCTTGGTCTCCTGCGTGAGCCCTCTTGGTCTATTTGCTTTCACCTTTGCAAGATTGCTCTGTTAGCCACTCTGCTTTCTATCCTGCTGCTCCTGGATCAATTGCTATTTCTTGCTTCTCACACTGTAGCACTCTCCAGTCTTGTCATTTTTCTTTCTCCAACACTTGCCGCCATGCTCATTATCTCGAAGACACCATTGCTACCTGACTGTAATACTCTGCTCTTCTGGGAGGGTGGGGGAGGGGACCAGGTTAAAGCTAGTAGAATATGCACCTCAGCACCTGATACAGCTGCTGGTGCAGAGCTTATGACCTTGAACAAGTGCTGCATTAAGGGAGGCAAGAGGCAGTGTGAGGAGTTATTTCCCTACATCAGACTTCATGCCCATTCCTTGAGCCCTCTTTCCCCTCACCATCCCAAATCCTACAAAGTTAGTTATTGACAGTCACACCCTCTCTGTTACCTAATGGAAAATATCATAAATAACCATGATCATAATTATTAAGAAAGAGGAATTGTTTAATTTCAGTTTCTCTTAGAGTAATAGGCCTGTACTGAAAACATTACATTCAGAATGAATAAATGCATTTCCTCAAAATATGAAAGACATATTTCAAATAAACATATTTTTTTCAAAATATATACATAGTCACTAGTAATTGGAAATTACTGGCCAGCTACTATTTTTACCACTTCAAGAAAATGTTCAACTCTTCTCCCAACACCTGATCAACAACATTTGAAATCCAAGACTGTCTGGCTGGATTTAAATTTCTGTTTGTCTTTAATCCTCAGAAATCTCAACCTGATTTTCAACTGAAACTGATTTCTTTAAGACCTCACTTCTGTGGACTCTCATCTACATTTATATGGCTGAGAGAGTTTCCAGTTGCTTTGGACTGACAGAAGTTGACATTGATAGTTTCACTAAGGTAGTTGAATAAAATACAGGTGGCATTGCACCAACCTAGTTGGTAAAAACACAAGTTCTGCTTGCATAACTTCACTTCTCTGAATGTGATGGAGCCCATCACTAGTGTCAATGCTTTTCATCTATCTCCATAGATGGGTCAGGGCTGCATGTATGAAGTTGGGCTTTGCCTTGCTGCCTACCAGCTGAGCATACCCATCACTGTGAGTGTATATCCACAGCTTCTTGTCACAGTGTTGAGACCTCAGGCAGCTGTGTGTGACTATGCATTCTGACTCAGAGACAAACTCTAATTTGTTCAGAGTACATTTTAATGTTTTCCTGAGTAGCTCCAATTTGCCTCCACAAATACACTGGTCTATCTGGGTCATAGCCCCTGCTGAAGGAAATCTTTTTTCTTTTTCTTTTTTGCCCTGAAGCAGGAAAGTGCACAGGGTTTGGAACTGTCAGCTCTGTGTCCTGTATGTATTGATAATCCTTAGGAAGTCTTCGATGGCAGAAACAGAGAACTAAATAAACTTTTCATACCTAGAAATAACAACTGCTGTTACTCAGTCGCTTATGTGTGTCTTGGTGTCTGTTCTCTATTTGTAAACTAAGTGCTGTCTGAAAGAGAAATAGATCCACAAAGCCCCAAATGCCTTGGGGCACATTTCCCTTCTCCTTTCTTTTCCTGGCCTAGCCAAACTGGTCTGCTGAATAGAGCCTCATTATGGGCCCCAAAGTCAACTCTGCCTAAGCAACCCTGCCAAGATTGGTAGGCTGTACAATTTGGCCTAGAAATTGTTTCTTCTATGGTATGTTTGCTGACTCCATGTGATTCTTTATATGTGTCTTGAAAAACAAGCAGATCCTTTAACAACTTTTTTCTACATGAAAACAATCAATTCCAGCAGCCCAGCCCACATGAACCACCCTACAATTACAAAGCAGAGTGTGCGCGTGAAGGAGGAAAAAAAGTTTCGGTAAGGAAACAGATTTTAGTTTAAAATTTTCCAAGGGGTTGTAGAAACAGTGAGTAAAAACCAAGACTGAAATCTGAAGAACAGAGTAGCTTTTATTTAATACACTTGAGGAGACTCCTCTTTAGGCTTCTCCATATTATCTCTGGCTTTCTGGGACCAATTTCAAATCAACCGTATCAACTTTATATGTTGCCATTCAAATATTCTCTTAAAGAATGATCAGGCATAAAAGATTTGGGTTTCTTTTGTCTTAGATTCAACTTTTTCAAAGAATCTGCTATCTATCAAGAAGGCCTTGGCCATCTGTAAACATCACCATGCTAATTGAGCACTATCATTTGTAAAGATAAAATAAGCAGGAGTTAAATAATTGGGCAGGACCTTGCCCTGTGGAGACCAACGGATGTAGAGTCAAGGCATGCCAATCCTAGACTTTACTATGTGATACCTGTGGCTGTGTTGTCCAATGGTAGTCACATGTAGCTATATAATTAAAAGTCAGCACCTCTGTCACTCTTGCCACATTTTAAGTATTCAGAGTCACTCATATGCAGTGAATTCCCTATTGGCCAGCACGTAGATCAAACATTGCCATCTTCATAGTCAGTTTATTGGACAGTGCTGCCCTATAACATTGTTTCAAAGTGATTCAAGTCAGCCTTGGTAGGAAAAGAGAATATTTAGGCAGGACATTGGGTATATTTAACATTCTCACCCAAGGATCACCATGTAGCCATGAGCTGACCTCCTTAAAAGGAACACTGATAATGGAAACTGAGAAATTTGATCAAAGTGTAACTGAACACTATTGTTCCTATATTTATTGATTTAGCCTCTCATATTTACTGAGTAGATGATAAACCTAACCTAAGTAAAATACCTACTAGAACAAGATTAACATACCCATGATCCTCAATTATCTTTAAATAACAACAATATATTCAGATTACTTACACTAGGTAAAGTTTAGAAAATATAGGAAGAAAAGAAGTAAACAAATATATAAATGATACTGTTTGTACAATCAGGCCTAGGAAAGTGATGCTTATCCACTTAACACGTTCTTTTGTGATGCTTCTTTAAAGTTCTCCATTTGAAAATCAGCACAGTCAGTTTATCTCTCTACCACCATTACTAGGAGCTGCACCTTGACCAGTGTGGAAACAGCATGAACTTTTATCTTGGAGTTTAACCAGAACAATAATAGCTAGCAACTGGCCTTTCTTTGACTTAGTAATTTTCACTTATAAAACCAAAGATATTTGTGAGAGTACAATGGCATGAATGAGACCATATTGCCAATTCCTCTAATAAAGCCAAGTATATATATTTGTGTGTGTGTTGAATATCTGCCCAAAGCAATGTATTAGTATGTGTTATTTGGGTTTGGTATATGTTTTCTAGATGTTTCTGTTCTAAGATAATTTTTTTTTTATAAATTTGTGCTTTTCCTTTATATCAATGTTGCATTGGTTTCCGTGGAAACAGGGAAGATTTCAGTTAGCCTAAATCTAGATTTCAGGAATCTCTTTATATCTATTTTGGATATGTGTTGGCCAAATATATATACAAACATACATGCATGCATACACACATGTATACATACATATATAATTTTATCAGCTGAATGTATAGATTGTCTTGGTTTTGAAGGGCATTAATAATGGCAATGATCTCATCATGGAAGCAAATCACCAAACTTTAAAATTTTTGAATTCAATAATTGACCTAATCTATTTTATTTTAGTTAGCAGTCATTTGTATTAAGGAACTACTTTAAAACTAAGAGACATATCAGTAACAATATTATGCTAGTCAAAAATATATGAATTTATTTCTTAGGAATCTATTTAATTCATTTGATTCTCTATTAGAAACTAAATTTTACATTGTACTTGGTTATCACGTATGTTTTCTAAGAAGAATTTGGAGAGTTTTCCAATGAAATAATATAATAAAGGAAAATAAGGACCACATATCTCAAAAAGAAAATAGGAATTTCCAGAAGAATTTTTATAATTAACATTATTAAACAGAAATAGTATTCTTAAATGTGAGTGTGCATAGGTAGAGTTGATGTGACAGATTTTTAAGACCTTTCTGCAAGCTAAAAAAGAATACCACTGTGGCTCTAATTCAATGAAGACAATCCTACGTGAAGACTGGATGTTATCTGATTACAAATAATCCTTGTCAAGACCAGAACAAAGAGGCAGATAGACACAGGCCCTGTGTTCCTGGGTACAGCCTGCTACTGCATAAGAGATAGGGCCCCAACACATTATCTATTTCTTGTGCACTCTTCACCCTGCTAAACTACCACCAGTTCTTAGAATGCCAGTCAAGCTTCAGTAAATGTTTATTGATGATGAGTAAATCATCCTGGGTCTTCTAGTGATCTCTGTGCATACCTCAAAAACTAACTCTCCACCTATTTGTCAATTGCCTGTTAGCCTCCTGCATTGTAGTTCAAGTGACTTTTATTTATGATTACAAATTTAGGGGCCCTGTTCTCAATTGTAATGCATCACCATATGATGTGTGTAATGCTGAGGTCTGCTATTGCTCAGTGACATACCATGCTCTGTGTGCTAAGTCCAAGAATGCCATTGGATGGACCCTCCATCACCAACCCAATTTGTGTTCTCATCTTTTACTAACAAAAATATAGATAATCTTAACAATTTCTATTCTGGTGGTGTCACATCCTTGCTCAGTTATTACCATGAATGTACTAGGAACTAAAATAAAATTATTAAGATAACCAATCGACAAGCAGTGCTAGATTCCAGTATGAGCATTGATGTGTGCCCATATAGGTGTAGACACATGGTTAAGGAAAATCTATCATAAATTCTCAAATTCTATTTTAAATTAAGTAAGTAAGAAAAAAATTAGAATGTTGACATTATTTTTAATGACTAGGAGCAGAATAAACTAATCTGGAGCTGACTTACTTTCTATGTTACCAAAGTATGGTTAGAAAAAATTGAATCAGTGTGAACATTAATAGATTAGTTAAGAACTTGAGTGAATACCCTTTAAATCTGTTGGAACTAATTATATAAGGAAGTCAAATATTTCTGTATACATATATATATGTATATATATGGCTTTATTCCTGAGACATAGAGTACATTATAATGTAGGTGTTGCTAATTAATTCTTCCCTAGTTGAATAAAAGTTGAATTCCTAGTTGTTAATATCCTTCTAATATCTTTCTAATACTGGGTTATGATAGCTCTTACTAAATATGGATAACAATTAAATGGTTTTATTATCCCACTGGGCTTTTCTTTTCATTTATATGTTTCTCTTCTAAGTTTATTTTCAAATTTATTACAGAAGAAAAGCAATGGGGCACCAAATGGATTTTATGCAGAAATTGATTGGGAAAGATATGTAAGTATGAGAATGTTTCCTTTATTCTGCATTTTACATCTTAAAAATTAGTTGAAGGATTCATCTTCATAATAGGACATAAAAATAGCTCTATCCCAATAGGAAATGCCTAGCTCATTTAGGAGGGTAAAAAGCAATAGAATCTGACAGACCTAGGTCAGGACCTGGCCCCTGCAACATCAGCTGTGAGGCCAAGAACAGTTACTTGCTGAGAAGCAAAACTGAAATCAGTGTAGCATTTACTGTATATCATTGTTGCAAGGACTCAGTGAGCTAACTGCAGAACATTTCAGTAACTACCTAGCCTATAGTATCTGTTAAAAAATAAAGCTTTCTTCTAATGTTCAGTCTGGTCATTTTCAACCTGACCTTGTTTCTAAGCAGTTCTGAGAATCAATGCAAGTCAATTAACCCCAGAACTTTAGTATCATAACAACTACTATAGCCTTATGGTATAAATGTCTCCTGGGATAAATGACAGTCACTTGTTGCTTCTCAAGGGATGCAACCTAGCTGAGACCTACACTTTACCCAGAGCTTTTCCCAAAAGCAATTAGCAGCAACACTTCTCCAGCCACAGTAGAAGGACCTGTTGGATCCAATCAGGATCATTTTTAGAGTTCTAACCATAGAGAATATGTCCATCTCTTTTACCTCAAAGATCTCTCACTGTCAGGCCTGTAACTTCAACTTCCATGGGGACACCCTTCATCTTTCTCCCCTCTTAGACTCAGGATGTAAGGCCCAAAGTACCTGGAGTCAAGGCCTAACTGTGACATTTGCTGGGCGTGTTCTTTAAAAACAGCATCAGATCTCACTTAGTTGAATATTGGGATAATTCTTTGCTCATAGGATTGTTATGTCATCCAATGACATAATGAGTCATAAAGTACCATAAAATAATTACTCGAATGCCAATGATTAATCTCAATGATGCAAACCGCCTTTTATCTTTCCTTTTTTCCTAAAAAGGTTGCCTGTCTGCTATTAGTATTAGTTCAGCCAGCAGTACCAGCAGCCATTTTCCCAGGACTGTAGGATAGAAACCTTGGATTATTCTTGAAACTTCTATCTCTTTTTATTCCCTTGATTGATCTATCCCCAAAAACTAAGAACCAATCCCTTCAAGTGTCTTTGAATCATCCCATCTCACCAACATAACTTAAACCATATTTATAACAATCTTGCCTGAATTGATACACATATTTAAAATCAGTTGGCTTTTTTTTGCCCCTTATCTATCTGGAAATATCTTCTAGAGCATCTTGAGATTTTGCAGTGTGTCCCATCCTAAGAAGCGGTAATAAACTCATTCTGCAGTAGCCCATGGGCCACTTGTGGCCGTGTTGTCTAGCCTTCCACTGTTTAGCTTCTTTTCCAGGCTATTGCCTCTTCTTTCCTGGCCGGAATTATTAGTAACATCCATGACTACAGTGGTGTTATCTCAGCTCTTCCCACCACTAAGGTTAAACTCCCATCCCCCACTCTCCTATCAGCACTGAAAGGTTCATTCAACTCACCCTGATTCTTTCAGAATGAATTCATTTCCTCTTCCTTCCTGCTTTTACCTAACACCTCTGTGTTGCTTTTTCTTTTTAATGTTTTTGGTAGGCAAAGAAACATAGTTCCTCCCAGGTTGCTTAGCACAGTCCTTGGTTTGTAGGAAATACTGGCAATGCATGAATGCTTTTTTCACTGACAGTTGCTTTTTCATTTATTTTCTTAATAGGAAGATTAGAAATAAAGTATATCTCTAAGTACACAACTCCAAGGGGAAAAATAGTCCCTCCATCTTTTCAGAATAATGACTGCTTAACATGTTCTTGTATTTTATAGAACTCACCTGAGCTGGATGAAGAAGGCTACAGCATTAGACCCGAGGAACCTGGCTATATCCTTTCTTATTTCTTTTTTTAAATTTTTACTGTCTCTCAGAAAACAGTAATGTAAACTCGGGTTTTCCAAAGGTAACCAAATATACTACTGCTAATATTAGAAATGAAAAAATAGCACAGAGAACAGCCTGATCGCTAACAAGCAAGCATTTTGGCTTGATCTATTCATAGAAAAGAGAGGGAGAGAGAAGAAAAAATGTGCTGAAAAACAATTGTGCACATTGTGGGTGCTGAGTGGTTTGCTGAAACCTGATGTGGCAATGTTAGTCAGTGACAGGAAAATAGCTCTCAGTGTCCTTTCCTTCCAGTTCATCTCTAGGCAAAGTATGTCACTCACTGAAGCACTTAAACTTCGTTAAGGGGTCCCCTAAATTAGCCTTCCTCTACCTGATGTTGAGGATGAGTGTGCTTGTCTGTTTGTGCCTAGTGGCATACAAATGACCAATGACAGCACTGCTCATTGGAATTCATTATCCTTGATCAGGTGCTAAGGCAAGGAAGATAGGTCCTAACCTTCCTCTTGTATTTGTTTGTTTGGTTGGGTTTGCTTTGGTTTTCTGCCAGGCAAAGGTACTTTTTCTGTGGATCTATGCAATCATCCTTATCTTACACAAAGTGGAAAAAAGAGCTAAGCATCCTTAACTGTGTTCTACCAACCAAAGGAAAGCACTTTTATTCTTCGAGTGAATCAGAAGAGGAAGAAGAATCACACAAGAAATTCAACATCAAGATTAAACCATTGCAATCTAAGGATGTTCTTAAGAATGCTGCAACGGTAGATGAGTTGAAGGCATCAATAGGAAACATTGCACTTTCCCCATCACCAGTGGTGAGTGGAGTTTCCATGTTAAGCTTTTAGTGAGACTGGACAGAGTTATTCTGCCTCAGTGCATTAAGCTGATCAGAAAATCCATACACTGAATGCTGCATGTGGTCACCATCTTATGAATTCATAAGCCTTGAGCAGCTCACTCCAGCTTAAGATGGTTTTACTCATTTCCTACTACAGTTCTTGTGCTTTTCAAAATGGCACAAATGCAGAGGATCACATTTTATTTTCTGCTGAGAAGACTATAATAAGAAATAAAATAACAAGACTAACCAAAGTCTTCTACATCAAATTTAACAACAAATTTAAGAACAACATGTAGTTCACTGACTTACTAACTGATATTTTTAAACATGTTTTAGTTTCCCTTTTCCTAGTAAAATGGAAACTAGAAAATGGCTTTAAAGGCAAACTTTTAGCCAGGTATATTGACCTACACCTGTAATCCTAGCACTGGGAAGACTGAGGTAGCAAGATCAGAGTTCAAGGCCAGCTTGGGATACATAGTGAGACCCTGTCTCAAACAAGCAAACAAAAACCCTTTCCCTTGCTATGCTCCAATAGAAAATATTAATAAACATTGTATTGTAAGAGAATTTTAAAATTCAAACTCTTTGTTATATTTTATTATTAAATAGCCTTCAGTACTTTCATCTTTCTCTTAAGCATCTCAAATACAGGAGTTGCACTATATTTATTACCCAAGTTGCTTTTGCCTACACTAAGCTTTCTTCTGTGTGTTGCCATCTACAAAATTTCTTTAGTTGCTGAGTCCCAAGGTTTAGAGAGATAATCCAACATTTATAGTAATTTCTTTGTGCTGTTTGATGAACACCACCATTGATTTCTCAAAATGGCTGTGGAGAGCAGATGAAAGTTGTCATACTAACAGCTAATACCTTCTTGGCATCTTCTTTAAGTAGGTGTGATCTCCTTACATCTCCATCCCCTGAAAACTAAACAACTTTCAAGTTATTTCTAGAAATATCTCTGTTAACCTTTCTAGAAGAATTGTAATTGTTCATCCACTGAGAATAAAGTCTTGTTTTCCTGAGAATTTTTTAAAAGTATATTAATCATGCCTTCTTTAAATTTTAGTGTTCGTAATGGTATTTATCATCTCTGTTTGGTGACAATTACAACAACTACTAATTGCAACCTACCATAGCAAATAACATTGCAAGTAAAATTTTTATCTTCCACACATCTGGTATTTTAACATATATTCCCAAAAAGGGAAGCATGAAATATGATTGTCTTCCCCTTCTACAATAGGGGAGTTAGACACTTTTAAACTTATATATCAACTGTGATTTATAGTAAATGTGGACATTTTAAATATGCACATTTTACTTTTAAGATGCCATCTTTCAAATCACTTATCACTAACTGAATATTTATTAGCTGTAAAAAATCTATTTATATACCAGAAGCCAGTTTACATCCACTTTTCTGGAGAGTGTAATAAATTTAGTGTACATTTGTAAGCTACCTGTGAAAGAAAGTTCACAGGATTAAGTGAGCAAATGTGCCTAAAAGCCAACCAAGCAGGTCAGCCTCAGAAACAGTAGATTCTTTTTCTGGAAGCATGTTGAATCTAAAAATCCTCTATCTCAAAAAGAGCATGGATGTTTAGGTCATTATCTGGATATTCCTCCAACCCAGAATGCTGCTGAGGATACACCACGAACAGTAGCCCTGAGTGGGGTGGGCACTTTCACATTCACAGGCAAACAATGAAAATCACCAGGGTCTGGCTATTGATTTCACATTTGTAAAAGGTAAAACATTGGACTGCTTTAACAGAGACCAAAGTGATAATGGCCTGTGTTTATCTCTCGCACAGACATCAAAGTCAGGGCTAGTCTAGAGAATGATAGAGTCCTAATGCAGAGGTCACTCAAAACTTTAGAACTTTCTGCATTATTGCTCCATCTTTCTCTGGAAGCTGCTGCCTTACCACAAGTAAGTACCGCCATGTTGAGCCCTTGAGATAAAGGGAAAAGACAATGAAAAGTAGATTTTTTTCCTTGATAGGTTTAACTTAGAAGCTGCCCCTACTTTACTCAAGGAATACATTAGCTGCAAGGGAGTCAAGGAAATGTAGTCATGTACTGAATAGTCATGTACAGAGCAAATATTACAATTCTGCTACTCGATGAAAAAGAAACAAATGGCTACCAGAGGATTTGGCATTTTCTGCCGCTGTATGTTAAATAATCTGTTATTTTGGGGAGTTCACTAGAAAGTGGGACTCCACTTATTTATCTTCAAAATGATATCCCAAACCAATTGAATACAGATATTTCCTTTTCAAAACTTATATTCACTAAATATTTAATAATAGTGTAGTTACCCTACATGTTAGTAAACAGTAGGATGAATAAAAACAAATTTCAGTAAAATACCATCTTGTTTAGTTGGTATATACTTTTCCAACAATAATCTTACAGAGTCTACTGATTTTTCAAGCATACTATTTCATTGTAGAAGTAAAAGTCTGCCTTCTATTAATCAAAAGTATAATTTTTTTGTCCTTGGTTGTGTTTGTGAATTTTCAAGGATGAACAAATGATCAGGAACTTCTTTTCCAATTGGTTTTCTATGCAGCAGACTGACTCAAAATTCCAGTTGAGCTTAACATCTGTAGGATGGGCTATCAGTCAGGAAGGGACATGACTTGGAACAAGGTAACTTTCTATAGTTAAGGCAGACTTTGAAGTGTTCCAGTTGAAAGGTAAATATCTGACAATGAGGCTCCTGGTGGCTGGTTCAAGAAACCTTATGCGGAGGAATCCACATAACATATTTTAGTGTCTGCTCCCAAACATCTGTGCCTCTCATAAAGTCTTGTGTATGACTGCCATTCAATAACTGTTTGTGAGTGAATGAGTGCTTGAGCAAACATGTGAGTGGAAGTGGGCCAAGAACAGTGCACCATGACATTCACCACTCTCTAGTTTTGCATCCACCTGCACTTTAGCCTCTTTGGTTCATCGCATGATGATTCACATAACTATGCTCTCATCCCAGCCACATAGTTCTATTTTATTCACATTAGTGATAAAAGCCTTATTGTATGCAGTGCTGAACCAGAGGTATGGTACATACCTCTAATCTCAGCTACTTGGGAAGTAGAGGCAGAAAGATATGAGTTTGAAGCCAGTCTGGACAAAAACAGAAAAACAAAAACAGTAGAGATTTCTAGCTCAAACATGGGAGGGTAGGGAGACTGGGGGCTTAAGTCAACTGGTAAAATGCTTGATCAGCAATTGTGAGGCCTTAGGTTAAACCCTCAGTACCAAAGAAAAAAGAAAGAGAGGAAAAAGAAAGAAAGAAGGAAGGAGGGAAGGAACTGAGCGGAGTGGAGGTATATCTTAAGTTGTAGATTGCCAGCTTTGAGCAAAAAAGGTAGATGAGAGTGTGAGGCTCTAAGCTCAAGCCCTAGTACCGGAAAAATTGCAACATCTAAGAAAAAGCTTTGTTTTTAAAGAGTAAGTTGCTTTTTGAAAGAAACTAAATAATAAGAGATAGAACTCTAAGGAAATGTGCAAAAGAATGGGAAAGGAAAACAGCAGTCTGAATTCAATATACAACTGAATTAAATGAACTGAATGCAATTGCCATTGATGTGATTTCAGAGACATGAAAATAGACAGTCATAGCAATGATGTCACAATTACTTGAACAGTGGGCTGTACTTCCTAGCTGGTGATGTTGGCATGTTAAAGGAGCTCTCCTTTGCCAGGGGCCAGTAGTTCATGCCTGTAATCCTAGCTACTCAAGAGGCTGAGATCTGAGTATTGTGGTTCAAAGCCAGCCTGGACAGGAAAGTTCATAAAGTTCTTTCTGGTTTCTTGGTACTGTGCCTGGGGCTTGAATTTGGGGCCTAGGAGTTCTCCCTGAGCTATTGTGCTCAAGACTAGCCCACTACCACTTGAGCTTGTCTTCTGGTGTGTGTGTGTGTGTGTGTGTGTGTGTGTGTGTGTGTGTGTGTGCAGTTAATTGGAGATGAGGTCTCATGAACTTCCTGTCCTGCTGGCTTCAACCCGCTGGCTCAGATCTCAGCTTTCTGAGTGACTAAGCTACTATTTATTTCTTCAGTGAGCCAAAAACCACTGCACACACACATGAAGAAATGGTATTTTACCTCTATGTTTAGTTCTGCACTAATTAAGAATTTTTTCTGGAATAAGTTACCATTAAGTTCTGACGCAGGACATGTAACCTTGGACAAAGGCACTTAATTATTTATTTAAGCCTCATTCATAGCTTTATCAAGGGCACAGCAAGATTACTAGTATTATATACTTTATACAATCCTTGTAAGGATTAAGGACACACAATATGTAAAGTGCTTAGCACTTTGTAAGCAAATTTATGTAATAAGACCCCAGAGATTGTCCTTAATGAATAAATAGCTGTTATTAATCAAAACATAATGCAGTTCTTATAGTGTCTACTCTAAATCCTCCTCTAAGGATATGGACCACTTTGAGAACTTACCAAATTAGTGGTGGAGGTGGATTTCTTTTGAAGCACAAAGGCAAGTAGGATTTTGAGGCTTTTGAGGATTTTTTGGTGTTGGGCCAGCGGTAGCAATTCTGAGGTATAGCCCTGGGTGTTATGCTTGCTAGGCAGGTGTTCTTCCATTGAACCATGCCTCCAGCTTGATTCTGTATCATCTTATCTGTGTGTATCAAGCAAGGTCTTAACGTCAAGCCTCTATCCTATCTGTAAAATGGAATCAGTAGTAATAATGTTAGAATGGCAAGGGGTGATGTAATGTACTCAGCTCCATGCACCATCCCAGATTCTGGGCATGAGCATTCCATTCCCATTCAGCTGCACTTTCCTTTTCCTGCAGTTGAAAGACTTGTGGGAAGCAGAAGGGAAATAAAACTAGTGAGGGAGGACTTGAGCAAAGTCAAGACAAGGACTCATAGAAAAGATGAGGGAGTAGGAGGCATCCTCTCAGGCATATAAACTATTGCCTCTTC